TAGGTGAAGGATTAAGGACAGGTCCCTTCTACTCTCAGAATAAATTCAGGTCTTGCTGATTTTTGCAGATTAATGCTGCCTAACTAAAAGTCTGTTTGGTTTTGGAAGATCAGAGTGCTGGCCCAGTGTCAGTGCTTTCCAACAACCGCATCCAGACTAGAAGTAATGTGGAGAGCCGTAACAGTATTGGCATGCTCCCTTCAGTCGTAGGAGTATTTAATAGTGGGATAGTATCACACAGAAAATATAATGATACATTTAAAATGTTTTTAGTTTTTTCATATAGTCAACTTCTGTAATTTCCTTACCATTAGGTAATTATCGATTGTCATTATACATTGGAATATAAAGTTTTTTAAAAACCCTTTGATACAGAGATAGCAGATATAAAGATGATGCTACAATGATCTTTACAGGAACTAAGTAGTAAAAAATGAAGTGGTTCATAAAGGTCCAAAACTATACTCAGCAAGCTACCAAAAATGACCAAAGTCTCTCTGCATAGCAATCAAAACAAAAATGTATTTGCTTGATATAAACACAGTTGATCCAACACTTTTCTTTTGATATGAAAATGACAAATAAAGCAATGTTTTTACTCCATTCCAGCCTGGATTTACTTATTCTACCTGGACCTAATGAAAACAAATTCGCGTCACCATATATCACCACTGCTGTAAGAACCATCAAGTTTCTTTTTAAAGCAATATTTATTTGAATTGTGAACCAACAAGACAAAATAATGATATGGTGATAAAAATAATAGCAAAGCTTCTCAGACAGGGAAGGAAGCAAATAACTGAATTGTCTCTAGTTACCAACTACATCTTGAAATATGCAAACGACAGCAGGCAAGACAACACATGTTAGCAAATAACTGAATTGTCTCTAGTTACCAATTACATCTTGAAAATATGCAAACGACAGCAGGCAAGACAGCACATGTTCAGTATATTCAGTCAGCTGCTACAAAGCAATGATTGTAGCAGTATTACAATACATGTCCAAAACAGGAACCAGTATCATAAAACGTGTCCTTAAAGATTAGAAAAGGGCACAGTTTTCCTCCTCACATGACTGCAAGAAAAAACATCAAGCATTCAAAGAAAGTATTTTATATACATAAATATATACATGGAACATTGCAATACTAATGCAGATATGCAAAAATTAATAATTTTCCATTGTATGGAAACAAGTGGGTTATGAACCACTTTTATTTTTTACTACTTAGTACCTGTAAAGATCAGTTTAGCATTGTCTTTATATCTGCTATCTCTGTCTCATAGCATTTTTTAAAAACTCTCTATTTTTTCAAATAAAATATTGTAAAATAAGCTTCTTAAAACCTACAGAATGTATTCTGCTAAATTAGAAAAACACTATTGCTCATTCATCTATTGTTTTTTAAATTTCCTTACAGCTGAAAGCTATTCTTACCTAAGCTTTCTGAGAAAATAATATCAATGAGCAGAATAACAATTTTTAATTGAATTCTTAATGCATCGTCCTGATTTTTCTGCCCCCTCCCCCAGCATGAGATCATCCTCTACAGGGATATGTTAGTGACAGAATATGACATCATTGCATTACCTAAACCAAGATGAGGCAATTCTTTCTTAGTGTCTGTTAGAATCAGCACTGTCCTCCAGAGACCAGTGCCATTACCCTGGCTAGTGCTTCAGAGCAGAAAACATACTGCTGATTAAAACGTGCATTCGAGTGCCTGGCAACAAAACTGGTATCTCTTTGTGGGTGTCTTTTGTTCTTAGAAGAAGCGCAGGTGACTTGGTGCATTCAGGTGCTCGGAAATTGATGGTGAGTTACAGATTCTGTTCTGAAGGTAAAGCATGCGTGTTTTAAATACCTAATGTAGTATACCCAGCTCTTCTTCACTGTCTAGCTTCTGTAAAGACTCTTAGACAAGCTTCTCTTATGATGCAGTAGAATGCGGTAAGCTCTAACACTTCATTAAACAATTGAAACTGGGCTGTGAGCTCGGCTTGCAAAGGCTTTAGTAAGAAATATTTTTATGATATGGTATTACAAAATATGTTTTACGTTTTTCAGAAACCAAGTACTGTAGTTCACTGTAATTGCAGGTTTTGCTAGCCACTTCTTTATATTTCATTGTTGCTTTGGCATTGGATCAAGGACAGCAGTTTGAGAGTTTTAAATTTTAAGGTTGCAGAAGCGTCAAGGAGATAATTTAAGGTCACTTAAATGTTGAAGATCATATTGTTTGCAGCGTGCTTTAACACTTATGTTATAAAAGCATCCAGTGGTCCCAGTCTGTTAGGTCTCCAATTTGCCTGCTGAAGTCTGCTGCTGTTCACCAGTGTTACTCCCACCAGCTTACAAATACCAGTCCTTAATGGGATGGAATGGTTTGGTTGGAGCACACCTGATATGAACCTAAGGCAGTCTAATGACCCACTTAGCCTCCTTAATGATTCTGAGGTCCCATCTGTTGGCCAGAGAGTTGTTAGCTTTCCCTATACTTCAGCTGAGACTTTCTCTAAGTAGTTACTGGTAGCCCAGGATGGCTTATATTTTAGACAGGAGGTGACCACAGCTTATGTAGGCACATATTTACTAGTTTACACTAGCTGGCTTGTGTATTTGCATCGCTGGCACTGCAGATCTTCACAGTGCCAAGCAGCTGGGATAAGCACCTGGGCTTTTAGCAGAAGTTGAATTCCATGCTGACATGGCTACGCTGCTCTCAGTACACCTGCTGGCTAGTTTTGGTAATCGAGTTGGTACATGATACTGTGCTTTTTTATATGGTGTGGTTCTTCATTACTGTTGGCAGACAAATAACAAGGAACACGGTTAACCTTTTCCCTGTCTCTCCTATTAATCCCAGCCCCAGTGAAGGGTTTGGGTGATGCGTCTGCACATAGTGCTTCTCCAGAAGAAGGAACAACACAAGTTGCCTCAGAATTGTGGGTCAGTCTGGTTGGATGTTTTCCTACAAAATAAAGTTTTGTTCAAAAGTATCAGGCTGAGAGCTCAGGAAAGCTGGGAACCAAAGCCAAGGATGGTTGTGGTAGGGACAGGGCTGAAAGAGGCACAGAACCTCCTGGAAGCTGGGCTCTGCTGGAGCAAGGGACCTTTAGCGTTCTTGTCAATAACTTACTGGGGATCAGAAGCTCTGCTTTTCAGTTACAGCTGTGTGGATACACTGATTGTCATTCTAGACTAGACTTTGTCACCAATTCTAACGATCCCTGCCCAATGATAAGGCATAGGGTTGGATCACTGTTGGGCCACAGGTCTTAGGTACTTGAATTACCCTTTAGAAGTGTTTGTCTTTTTTTACATAGGGAACTTTTAAGGAATTAGACTTTGAAGTTAGGATTAATGAAGCCACATCATGGTGCTAGGCAGGCAAGTTGAGCATCGTAGATGTAGTTCCTGCCCTGTGGTACTGTCTTTAAAGTAAATTTCTAAAATATAAAGCAATAACGTATTTTAGAAGTTTTGTTTCTAAAATATCAAGCTTATTTGATACTTTTGCAATTTGGTTTTCAGGAAATTTCCTGTGTGCTCCTAACTTACATGATACAGTTCTCCAGTCTGGAATAATTTTGTGAGCAAAGAGACTTCTTAATTACATCAGTGCTCCAAGATAGAAAGAAAGAATGTTCAGAATAACCTTAAAGATCTTTTGAAGTCACTAAAAATGTAAGTAGATGTCTTTTAAGAAACAAGGAAGGAAAGAAGGTTCTACACACCCAGATTAGTGCTTCTGATGCCTCAGTAATTGTTGCTGCAGAAAAAGCATGTTCATGATGTACCAGCTAGAGTATAGATACAAAGTTAAGAGACTGAATGTAATAATAATCCGATGGTGTAAGATGGAAAATACAGTTTGCCACCAAAGAACCTAAACTGTAAATAAGATTCTTTGTCATATCTGACCAGCAAATCTTGCTACTCGGTGTGATTATTTATACATCTCTATTTACTATAAATGTACCTGCTAAGCAAATTTAAAATTCTTGCCTTGTAGTGCTTTGTTTGTTTCTTGAGGTCTAAGCACTTATTTCACTTCTAAGCATTTATTACTTTGTCTTGTCTGGCAATTTAACTTTGTGATGCGTAATCCTTTTCTGAATCCTGAGTTAAAGATAACTTGTAGTAATGTGTTCCTTGAGTACAGGCAGAGTAATTGGGAGGGAGGTTTATTGCTTTTAAATTGATTTCTGGCTTAGTGTCATTTGTGATTTCTTGTCCTGTGTTCTGATCAAAAGTAAACAGCAAACAGCATAGAGGTCATTTCATCAACTACTTAAATTTATTGCAGCTGCCTTCATATACACCAATTAGGATTGGATGCAGTGATGTTTCATTTGAAATGGAATGCAAAGAAATTATTTATTTCTCAGAATACTATGACCCAAAAATCTAACCTTCTACGTTAGTCTTTGCACGCATCTGACAACTTGTATTGCTTGGTTTTGGATCTCAATTCCTGTCTTACTGAGATGGAAGGATCTATATATGATACAATATTCATAATGCTAAAATGCTACTAATGCATGTAGGGACGTTACAATATTTTAAAGATTGGTTTTGATTTTTTTTTTTGTCTCTTATCCTGCTTTTTGTAGGCGTTTTCAATGATTTGGTCACAGGGATCTGCAGACTCTTTTCCCCAGAGCTGTTTTAGAACACAATAATTTAGAAAAATATTTCATGTTGTTCTTTCAAGTATAAGATTTGTAGGGATTACTCAGAAATGCTAATTTTTACCTACCAATACTAATACTGCTATGCTAAAGTTATTCAGTGTGAATATCTCCTTTTAACATTCCTGTGTTCTCTATAATTCTAAAAAAAAAAAAAAAATCTAAAAAATTGCTCTCTCGTTGTATGAGACTTTAAGGAAACCTAACAAAAATAAAGCAATCTGAAGATATTATTTCATATGAAAATTAACTCTCGTATGTTTCTATTTTCTTATATTTTCAAGCTGGTAATTGAGAGCGATAATGACAGACATAGGTGATGGACCACATTTGGAGCAAGATCAGATGGATGCAAAATCTATTGCTGGTTCCAAAGGGTAAGTGAGGTACTTTCGGTTTAAGTCTTCGATTTAAGTCCTGAGCAATCATGTGCTGTAACAGAAGGTGAGACCCATAGAAGAAATAATGCTAAAAGGAAAAGTTTTGATTATGTTAAATTGTCATAATCATGAACAACTATTAGAGTTGTTACACTGACTTTGAAAATATACAATGTCTGACAGAACAGGCTGTGCGTATGTACAAGGAACTGAAAAGCAAAACACTTGAGGTGCAGTTAGACTTGGCTTAACAGTGTTATCAAGTGGTTAGCTGTTCTTGAGAAGAGACTCTTCTGTCTTGCCCTGGGCTAGATGTTCACCACTTTCCTTGAAATGCTTCTAGAGCTCAGCTGAACCAGTGGCAGCCAGTTCAGCTGCTTGAGCTGCCCTGCTGAAGAGTTACATGTGCAGAGGCACAAGTGCAAGGGGAACTTACAGGGGGGGAAGGGAGGAAACGCAGGCCTGTGCTTCCTAGTGACAGCTGGTTGTTACACTGGTGTAGCACTATCATCAGGTTACAGTCTCTCTGGAAACTTGTTTCTGAAGTCATTCTTTTTAGTATTTCAATTAAAATTAGATTTAAGAGCATTGCAAATTTTTTATCTGTAGAATATGATATGGTAGTGGGCCCTGATCTTGTGACTACTTACCCATGTACTTAAATGAGAAAATCCGTATGACTTCAGCATATACGGACTGAGTAAAATTGACAGCCATTTCAGAGTCATGATGGGTGGTGTAGCTGGTGTGCATGTTAAGGCAGAATTACAGCTGCATGTAGTGCCTTGGTCGTTTTCTAGGTTTTGAATGTTTATTGTTAAAATTCAATGGTAATATGACTTTTGGTTAGCATTCAGAATAGATTTACAATCTCGGAGCTGATCTTGCCTCCAGGTACATAGCTTTCAAAAGATGATAGCAAAAAAAATCTCCAACTGATTTTTTTGTTGATATAATCATTGGTTTCCTTAAACTAATTTTTTATATTCTCTTGTGCAGAGACATTATTATTTTAGACACAGTTCTTCCTTGATTCTTTAAGTGTTAAGCTTGTTACAAGTTGCATAGAAGATTACTACAAATACAAATGACTCTACTTTTTTTTTGTTCATTTTAAGTATTTGTGTATGTGTACATTTTACTGAACTTGAAACAAAAGCTTTATTTGAGAGCATAACTATACAAAGCAGTTTGATTTTAACCTCTGGGCAAGTACAGTCTTCACTAGTCTTAAATCAGATCTACCAACTGATTTCACAGACAGAATCATAGAATGGTTTGGGTTGGAAGGGACCCTAAAGATCATTGAGTTCCAACCCACCTACCTTAAGCAAGGACCCCCTCCACTACACCAGGTTGCTCAAAGCCTCATCCAGCCTGGCCTTGGAACACTTCCAGGGATGGGACATCCACAATTTCTCTGAGCAACCTTTTCCAGTGTCTCACGACTCTGAGAGTGAGGAATTTCTTCCTTACATCTAATCAAAATCTACCTTCTTTCAGTTTAAAGCCATTGCCCCTTGAACTATCACTACATGCCCTTGCAAAAACTCCCTCTCTAGCTTTCCTGTAGGCCCTCTTTAAATACCGGAAGGCTGCTAGAAGGTCTCCCAGGAGCCTTCTCTTCTCCAGGCTGAACAACCTCATCTCTCTCAGCCTGTCTTCATAGGAGAGGTGCTCCAGCCCTTGGATCATCTTCATGGCCGTCCTCTGGACCTGCTCCAACAGCTCCATGTCCTTCTCATGTTGGAGGCCCCAGAGCTGAATGCTGTACTCCAGTTGATGTCTCATGAGAGTGGAGTAGAGAGGCAGAATCACCTCCCTTGACCTGCTGGCCACGCGTCTTTGGATGCAGCCCAGGATACGGTTGGCTTTCTGGGCTGCAAACACACCTTGCTGTGTCATGTCCAACTTCTCATCCATGAGTACCCCCAAGTCCTTCTCCTCATGGCTACTCTCAATCCACTCATCAACCAGCCTGGACTTGGGGCAATCCTAAACACCATCCAGGCGCAGGACCTTACAGTTGGCCTTGTCGAACTTCATGAGGTTTGCAGAGGCCCACCTCTCCAGCCTGGCAAGATCCCTCTGGATGACATCCCTTCCCTCTAGAGTATCAACCACACCACTCAGCTTGGCGTCATTGGCAAACTTGCTGAGGCTGCTTCTGGGGAACAAGTAGCAAACCTTACCAGTTTCATTGGTTTTGCTAAAATAACCTTATTTTATTATTATTTTGAAACTAGAGAAGAGAGATCAGAAATTATCAAAGTTTGTCTGATTTCTGTACAGAAAGAACCTGCCTGCTAGCAAGTCTATGGACTCTGGAATTCTGCCAGACTACAGTTACAGAATGGATTATCCAGAGATGGGGGAATGTGTAATAATAAACAATAAGAACTTCCACAGGCAAACTGGTACCGCTTTCAAATTTTAAAGTTTTTTCTTTAATTCAGATAAATTAGTGGCATATATTATTCTTCAAAATTAAATATGCAGTCCAGTTTTGGTTGCAGTCTAAAATGAAGTGGTCTGAATGGCTGTGATTCGTTTCAATGCATTCTTGTAAATATGCATAGAGGGAACATGTTAGGATATAGCAGTAATGGGGAGAAAAATTGATTGGCAATACAAGGCCATCTTACCTTTTAGTAATGATTTCTGTTTTGTAAATGAAATCCTTTTCTATGTCTTTATATAGATAAGTAGATGTAAAAATAAGTAATAGATAAATCTACGATATAGGTACAGAATGGGAGATGGTGTGCATGTATCAGTGCAATGTTTTTTCTGTTAGAGTGGATCTGGAATAGTGGAATAATATTACAGACTTGTACAGATATAAGTGAGAAAAGAATTTGGCTCAATCAGGCCATGTCATCTATATCACATAAAAAATAATACCTTTCTCTTATGTATAGGGATGTTACCCCGTTCGGGTACAGATGCAGATGCTGCAAGTGTCAGAGAAGTTTTTATGAAGTTGGGATATAAAATAAAGATCAACAATGATCTTTCCTGCGGGGACATTTTTAAACTATTGAAAAATGGTAAGTAATAATATGTTCAATGTGTGTGTTAAATCGACCACTGTTTCCAAATACATCTCTAGCCCTCAAATCTCTTCTTCCATGGTTCTTTTAGATGATATTTCACACCTACCAGTGGTTTATTGCTAAGGATGACATGTACATCGTAGTTTCTATGTTTATTCATCTTTGTTGTCTCTCCATCTTTTGTGCCATGACTGTTGTCTCCGTATCCTTTCTCATCTTCTAAAGAAGGCTGGAAAAAAGGCTGAAACTTAAATGCAGACTGATTTATATTCTGACCCTGGGATCACTGAAGCTCTGTGAGTTGGAAAGAAACCTGCTTAATTGGGTAGAGGGGTTCTGTGATATATGCTTAGTGGTGTGGCCTAAGAGGTGTTCTGATCCAGGGGAGGTTCAGATCCGGGGACCAGAACAGCAAGTGTGTGGACTGAATTCTTCTTTTAAAGAAACAGCTTGTGTTTTGTTTGACTTGTGAAACAAAACACCCTTCTGTCAAGTGAGAGCTTTATACTACTGCTTCTGTTAATCCCGCTTTGTTTGGTTTTGGCTAAGTCTGGAACAGTAAGTTAAACAGTGCCTGGAGGTATCTGTAGCCCTGTGTTGTGGGTTAGGCCGCTCCAGCAACCAGCCCCTACACAGTCGCCCACTCACACGCCCCCAGCCCCAGGGATGAGGGAGAGAATTAAAGGATAAACAGGAAACCCGTGGGTTGAGATAAGAACAATTTAATACAGATGATTTAATACACAGTGTAGGTGCTCACCACCCCCTCTTATCTGCATCCCATCTCGTCCCGAAGCTGCAATCCCAGATGAATGCGAGGCCCCAAAATAGAGAGGGGGAGAGAGAGAGAGTACTCTGAGAGTGGGAGTACTGGGAGAGAGAGGAAAAAAAAAAAAAGGCAATAGAACAAAAGCGCAGCAAGCGCAAAAGAGCAGAAGCAGCGAAAGAGCAAAAGCGCAAAAAAAGCCCTTCTTTCTGGTTGTCCCTCACCTTTATACTGGGCATGACGCTGCATGATATGGAATACTAATTGGCCAGTTTGGCCCTCAATCTTAAGTTCCACCACAAATCACAAGGGGAATTGTGGCCCCCTTGTCCCGGCTATGCTCCCCCCTTATCCCGCCGTGCTTCTGCACTTTTCTGCACACTGAAAAGTCCTTGGAGTTTCACTTCCAACCACAAACATCAACTTGCTATCAGCATTCTTCTCAGAGCGAGCCTCCGAGTAAACCAAAACACGGAGCTCTTCTAGCTGCTAAAAAGAAGAGCTAGCTCTGTCCCAGCTAAAACCAGAACACCCTGGAACACAGTCTATTCCAGTTAACTGTTGGAAAGTTCTCTGGTGTGACTGTGGCTCGTGCCCAAACTGTTCCAGATCACAGTCAACAGTAAACTTTTTCCAGGGATTATCCCCAACAGTCAGTTAGCCTGCAGCAATCCTGTTTGTTGGTTTTGGTTTGTTGTTTTTTTTTTTTAATACAAGTGTTTGCTAGCATAGATGTAGGTTCTTTAGTTAAATGTTTATGCCAGAGAATGCTCCCGGGCATGGTTAATTGATTAGTGTGGTTGCAGCCCGTCTGTTGACAGTGGCTGGAAGTGGCAAGTCAGATTCTTGTGGCTCAAGGCCTCTGTCTTACCTGTGGTATAAGGCCTCCAAAGAGACAGTGTAGACTACAGACTGCAGCCTAACTAAAGATTCCCAAAAAACAGCTTTTCTTGGTTCTCCTAGGTGCAGTGCTTGTCCACAGATGATAGAAATTCTTGTGTACGCATTACTTGAGAAAAATCTAAATAGTTCAGTTTTTCCAGAATAGAAGTTCAGTTTTTTGGCGAGCTCCACGCAGAAGACTTCAGCTTTTAAAACTCGTACTTTTTTCATCTACGAATTCTTATATCTTCTTGCATTACCCACTCAGAATTCCTTTTGAATCCTTTCTTTTAAACCATGTTTGTATCTTTTCATATATTTAAAAGAGTTGCCTTGGTCCTCAAGTACAAGCCCCACAATGTCAGGCAACAAAAGACATCAGAGAATATCTGTTCTGTGCTCTTTGCATACCACAAGATGGAAAAAAAATTATAAATCTACAAACACTTTATATCAAACTTAAATATCTTTAAGTACGAAATTCGGAGGCTTGAAAAAAATCTTTCTAGACCTTGCTACAGGGCAAGAGTGAGAGACAGAGGGGTAATGCTAGTACCTAGGTCCCTGCAGCAGCAGCAACTTTAACACTACATTCAGTTCCCATGTAATCTGAGCAGTTGAAGCATCTCTGATTAGAAAGAGAGGTAAGACTTCCTCAAAACTCAGAGCTTCCCATCAATCTGATCCGAGATCACAAGACTGTTGGCTATTACTGTGTGAGTGAGGTGTACCATTCAGACTTTGAGACACTGTGGGAACACCCACTTTGTCTCCTCACGGTGTTCCTGGCCTAGTTCTGTGGCCATGTCTTAGAATGGGTAAGGTTGGCCTTTTATTTGGGGTTTTCTGTGTCCAACCTCCTGAAGTCAAGTAGGCTGGCTAGTTTTGTTCAGAAGCGAAAACTGATTGGAGGTTTCTAAACATGGGAATTGGTTTTTAAAGACTTCCATCATAGGAAGCATCGAATGTTCAAAGCTTTTAGGGAATGTGAGAAGTTTAAGATAATTCTCTTTTTTTCTTCAAAGTTTCTGAAGAAGATCACAGCAAGCGAAGCAGCTTTGTTTGCGTGTTGCTAAGCCATGGTGATGAAGGATTCATCTATGGTACAGATGGCCCTCTTGAACTGAAAACACTAACAAGCCTTTTCAGAGGTGACCGATGCAAAAGTTTGGCAGGAAAACCCAAGCTCTTTTTCATTCAGGTGATGTACAGCTGAACAATGATCATCAAATCAGCTGGATACTTAAAAAAAAAATTGTTTCCCATTAATTATTAGTGAAAAAAAGTTAACTATTTCTAAAATTGATTTTAATGGAATTACCTTGATAATAAGATTGTCGTCAGGTCTGAAAGTGGCACAGTCTGCCCTATTAGGTAGGCAGTATATGTAGTAGCTGAAATTGTGTTACCTTAATTCTATGGATTCAGTAAAGTTTTTCTGAACACTAGCCAATATTTTAGTGTGTTTCCGAATGCACTTTTCAGTCAATATCTGACTTAACCAAACTATGTAGTTAATTTAAACAAATGCTGGTTACTTTTCCTCTTGAGTCTGTCTAATGGAAATGTGACTTATGAATTCTTGTTGGTTTTGTAGTTGTTTAATCAGGATATTATTGTCTTTAAAATGGGAAAGAAAATTATTCTGATCATAAGTGCTGCCTTTATTTCTATTTTTTCTTTTATTTTCCATTCTTCTTTCCACCAAATAGGCTTGTAGAGGGACAGAATTAGATTCTGGTATTGAGACAGACAGTAGATCAGAAGAGACAATGTGCCAAAAAATACCTGTCGAAGCAGACTTCCTGTATGCATATTCTACAGCTCCAGGTGAGGAACTTGCAAAGAAATTTTTGTTCCTGAAATCGTATCAATATATCATCTTGTATTGATATCATAAATGACAATTTGCCATTGTATCCAGTCAGTGGGTGACTACTTCATTTGTTCTCTTTCACGGAAAGACATTTTCTTCCCTCAGTCTTTTTTTTCTCCCCTGGTTTGATTCACTTTTGAAGTAATTGCTACTCTCAATTCCCACAAAAAAAAACCAACACCCTGAATATAGATGTTTCTCACTATCAAACCCTCAAATGTTCATCCGCTATAAATTCAATTAATCTGAGTTGAACAAATGGTTTACAGCAGGAAATAAAAGATATTATTAGTTCTGAGAGAACAGAACAATTGGGTATCTGCAGATGCATGTACAGAAGTGGTGATAAACACAGTCGCCTCTATTTTCATTGCATTGTTAAGCAAAATCAGCAGTGGTAGAGCCCACAGTAATGCCCTTTATGTTACCAGTTAGCAGAAATAGGCTTCAGTCTTTAATTCATGCCTGTAGTTCTGAGGATAGTGACGCTGAAATCCATTTTGCATCTTGGCTCCATCTGCACTGTCACCTCTTCTTTGTCTATGTATACTCTGTAAAGAAGTGGTAAGGGATTAATGGCTAAGACTGTTTCAGCAGAAGATAATTTTCCTGTCTTTTAATTTTCCACCTACTTGAAGTTTTCTCAGATTAGAAAAGATGAGGAGATTAGAAAAATCTTTTGAGTTTGAATTTGGAAGATTATCAAATCTAAACTTTGTTGGTTAGTGATTTCAAGTTTTTATTTTAAAACATTGACTGCTATGGAACAATGCATTGTTCCCCTAATTGCCATCCTGCCCTGTGTCAGAAGTTGCTACGTCTGATCAATGTGACACCTCTCTCTTCCATAGGCTATTACTCCTGGAGGAATTCAGCTGAAGGCTCCTGGTTTATTCAGTCACTGTGTAAAATGCTGAAGGAACACGCAAGGAAACTTGAACTCATGCAGATTTTAACTCGTGTAAATCGCAGAGTGGCAGAGTACGAGTCCTGCTCAACTCGGCAGGATTTTAATGCAAAGAAACAGATTCCGTGCATTGTCTCTATGCTTACCAAAGAATTTTACTTCCCTTGCTAAGAGTTTCACCTTGTAGTTTTTAAGTTCATGTTTTATCTGTAATTTATACACAATGTTAGTATGAGTACCACTTTCAAATCTGAATTACTGTTCACTACTGTGTGTGGCATAATGAACTGTCTCAAAGTTAGGAGTGTCCATTATTAGAGGTAAAACATAGTATGACTATGTTAGAAATGCAAACTTGAGTCGCTGAAGCACAGGCAAGTTTGAAAGTAAAGCTGTGAGTAGCTTGAAAAATCAGGAAGAGGAGACTGAAGAAAGGCCAGATCACTTATCAGATCTATTTGGTGCTACATTTCATTTTGCTGAAAGGGCAGAGAAAAGAAACAGTTCTTGTAAATAGTTTAGTTTCATATCTTTGCCAATAGGAAGGAGATTCAGAATGTGATATGTTTACTAATGATGGTAATATGATAGTAGTGTGGTCATACATTTCTTCTTAACTCGGGTACTTAAAGTTTAGGTTATAAACTAACCTAAGCTGGTTTTATAATTTAGGACATAAACTGTGGAAAACAGCCTCTTTGGTTTTTACATACAATTAGGTAGCATGTTTAGAATATAGTCAACTTTTTCCTAATCATTTTATAACTTTTTTATGGAGTATTTGGTAAAGCAAATGTACCAACACGATAGCAGTTTCAAAAGAAATTTTCTATTACTGAGCTTGAAGCTGAGTGACTAAGGGACCAGTCTTCCAAAATTTGTTTTTCCACAGCTCCCTAATGGGGAGCTGTTGGGGCGTATTTTGGGCTATAAGAATCGGTGCAAAAGAAAGTGTATGTTCTGAATAGTTTGCTTTCCTCTTCCTGGCCATAAATTAAAATGCATTTTCCTTGTGCTATGTGTGTACCACATTACATCTGTGTGGAAAACTAGGTTTGTGGTACTGGAGAAGTCACTACTTAAGTCTAGTATCAATTGAGTTAGTGACAAGACTTCAGCTAAAATATGTTAAAAAATAGTAAATTTATATCTCTTGACTCTGACTTTTTTGGAGTAGGCTTTTACAAAATTGTAAAACGTTTTTGTTGACGTTTCAGCTTGTGGCAGTCTGTTTGAGATCAGAGGAAGACAGAATAGAAAATGACTATAGGACACTTGCAAAACAAGACTTAAAACACTTTAAATTGTGTAGCATAAACAATGTTGGCAAATTGATGTTCACTTCCAGAGGCATTTGGGGTTTTTTAACTTAAATTAAATACTGTTACTTAAGTCGTATCATGCTTTTCTATGTGTATTATTTGTTTAGGATCTGATAGTTTCTGCAAATTAATTTTAACTTTAATTATGTCCCTTTTTCTCAAAATACTGCTTTCTCTTTTCTTCCTTATCTGCCTTACGACCTGAAGCTGAAAAGAAGCTGCTTTAAAGCATTGTATACCGTATAGCCAGGTAATGAGAGTAGTGATGGAGACATGGGAAACGCAGATTCACAAGTTACGCAGAGGAGGCAATTTTAAACATTGTTGATGAGTTCTCTGCTTGCTTGCTGAATACCAGCAACCTTGTTTCTCTGTTGTAGAAGTGTTTTGTGAGAGAGGGTTAGTCTATCTTAACTGATGGAAACTTCAGTTCCAGGCAGATTTTATTACCCATGCTTCTGTTGCAAAACTAAATAGGGTCCTGTTAAGCATACTTAAAAATAACATTTACAAAAACCTATACGTAGGCTTCTTCATGTACGCTGTGAATTATAACAAGCAGCTGCACAGTTATATGTTGTGAATGACTGACAGGACTTCTGTTAGTCTACTAGTTGGGAATAGGAATGTTCCTTGAATTCTTGGTTGTTTTGCTGTGAAGAAGTCCTGTTACAGAGTTTGCCCTTCCCTTAGATTTAGTATGTTCTGGTCTTGATCCCTCTTGGTCCTTTTAAGGAAAAATGGTTGTACAACTTTTCCAATAGTCACTAAAATACAGCAAACCGAAGTCAAAGCTGGGCTAGAATGAGTAACTGGTCGTTTAGGAAGACGTAGATTAAGAGGTAGTGTTCCTGTCAGTCCTTTCCTCTCAGAAAGGAGACAAGAGTTGTGATTTGCTCAAAGTCAGGGATTTCCTTCATAGTGCCAGGAAGGCTTCTGGGTGTTTCTAGCCCAATGCTGGTGTTCCAGTTGGTGGGTCTTGTGGGTAGAGACAGAAGGTCCTTGAGCACTTGCTGGGTTTGCAAGGAGGTCGGAATAGGGCTGGTAAGCTAAGCTCATGGTAATTGGGGAAAACGCGATCTAGTCAAAAGGTTGAAATTGGGGAAGAGGCAGTGGGATGGAAGATTGTAATAGAGTAAGCATTTAGGACAGACATGAGGAAAATAGGACAATTAAAACAGTTGTCTGTACGGTGAGGACCACACAAAACAGAAGAAAGCCATAGTACAGAGGCACAATTGCCAGTTAATCAGCACTGTAGGTTTTGGTGACATAAGTCACAGAAAATCGGAAGATTAAAGTAGAGGAATGGAAGTAAGGTGAAAGGAGGGATTGCACCATGTAATGTGAAGAAGCTGCCTTAGACTGTTGCGGTGAAGCTAAAGGAGAAAGGAACAGATGATTTATGCTAAAAACCTGGCAGAAAACACATGCCTGGGACGCAGTTTTACTACAGGCTCCACTGACAAAGGGGCAATTAAACTATCACACACACAAAAAGAGCAGGAAAGACAAAGGCGCAGGAGAGGAAGCCCAAATAATACCCTTCCCTGCGGGGCTCCTCCTAGGCCCATCACAGGAGCCATCAGCCCATCAGTGGCCCATCTCCACAAGCCCAGAGGTGCACAGGAGCACAAGCACAGGCAGGAACCCAAATTAAGGACTTGGAGGCAGGGACACCTTGGTGGGGCTCTTCCCAGGGCTGTCCCAGGAGAGCCTCAGCCCCAGGATCATGTGAAGCCCATCAAGGCAAGTCGATGCAGGAGCACCTTTCATGTAATTGTGGGACACATCATGGGATGCAGGGGAAGAGCATTTTGGGATTGCATGGGATTTGTTATGGGATGCTTAGAGAAGGAACCAAAGGCAGGGAAAGGAATGGATTTAGGTGATTTGGAGAGGAACAACTGTGGGGAAATAGGTGTAAGGGGACAAGAAGGGCTGATCACATGTAAATAGTTTACTGGTCATTACAATCATTCAGCCAGTCTGACCTGACTTCTTACTAAATGCTGGTTTAACTGTTCGTGAGTGGGGGGCTCTGTTCTGCGTGTGTGCATGGGGACCAAGTGCCACCAGGCTGTGGGTCAGAGCACATGTGTGTCCGTTGTGCAGTGACTGGAGTAGCACCTTGGGTCACAGTGGCCCAAGTGCCCACAGTGCCAGGACTCAGAATGAGTGCAGCCAGCAGCTGGGCTGGGACCATGGGCTGGAGGGCCTGTGTGCCAGTGACCAAGGGAACCCAACTGAGTGACACCAAGTGCCAGTCCCAGGGTGGAACTGGAGGTCAGAGCCCTGTGCCTGTGATGCAGCACCTGGAGCAGATGTGGGTGTGCAAGTGAGTGTGTGAGGATCGAGTCGGGTGAGGAGAAGTGGCCTCAGCACTGGTGGTGATGGTAAGTCTGCAGGCAAGGCCATGGGAGGAGCTGGCAATGAGGGGGACCCGGAGAGACCTGTCCAGCTCCTTGTGTGTGTGTGCACCTAAGGAGACAGTTTATACCAGCAACTGGAGTTGGGCTGTGACCTCAAGGAGTTGTATGCCCAGGTGCCAGCAACTGGGGAGACTGGGATCCAGGATCAGCCACGAGGCAGGCTGAGTGTCTATATACATGTATGTTCCCACCAGTTGGACCTCCATCCTGCTCAGCCAGAGAGGGAAGCAGGTAAGGCATTGATGCTGTCTATTCACGTGAGTGCTCTGTGCGTGTTTGTCTGTGTTACTGGTGTGCGTGATTACACACACGGCCACGTATATGTGTATATATGTGGTGTATGCGTGTGCTCTGTGCGTGTCTGCTTACTAGGAACACATCAGCCTTGCTACTGGTTAGATCTGGGGACATGGAGCTGCAGCAACCACCTCTCCTGGGCTGTCGGATACAGCCTGATATGTTTTTCTCCTGACACATATTTTTGGAAAAAAAAAAAAAAACCAAACAATTTGGGAAGACATGCAGTCCAACAAACTTTTGAAATGTGAGGGAGATAACTTTTTTTTTTTCCAGAAGAGGGAGGAAATAAGTATGTTAAATATGGAGACCTTCACAGAGACCAAAGGTGAAAAGCTAGGTGGAAACACTTGCATGAAAGTGCTACACCGTTCTGAATATACTGATGTGAACAATTCATTTCCCTGGGGAGGGCCTTCATGCCAAGTGTTGCTGCAGCATCCAAGCTAAATGGGAAAGCACATGCCTGTGTTATCACCTGAAGATACATATATTTGCACAACGAACTGGATCATCAGTGAAACCATGTCCAGAAGGCTGTTAAAAAGCCTAACCTTAGTCTTTTGCTGATTTGAAAAGCCGCCAGAACCACACACCCTGCATAAAACAATGATAAAATTAAGAAAGATGGCATATGAGGCACTGAACAATTTTTACTAATGTTTGCTTTTCAAGCAAAACTGAAAAAATAATGGGTTTTTTGTTTGTTTTTTAAACACATTTGATGCTAAGCAATGGAAATGTGAAGAAATTAAAGACCCAGGCTGAAACTGGGGAGGCAATTTTTTTTCCTCCTGCCTGCTTTATACCATGTCACGTCCTCCCTTCTGGCTCTGCAAAGCCTGATGTTGAACGCAGTCAGTCTGCCCTCTCCTGCAACCACCTCTGAGAGCATATTTCAAATCTGCTTTTTGTTAAAACCAAAAAAGGCACATCAAACACTGATGCCGGTAAGTCCAATGGAAACAGTCTGTCCTTGAGAAGAGCATCCACAGTTTTGGTACTCATCTCCATAACAGAAGAAAACCCATGCAACTTACTTGATGTTTACAGTGTTTAATGAGTTACTAGGTCCTTATACATATATAATGCATTCTTCTTGGAAGAATGGAGGACAGATGAAGAGTGGACTGAGAGCTTATGGATCAGGATTAAAGGGAGGGCAGGGACAGGGGACATAGTAGTGGGAGTCTGCTACACGCCACCTGACCAGGAGGACCGAGTGGATGAGGCCCTCTACAGACAGATAGGAGCAGCCTCACG